GAGTCCCTTTCTAGCATCCTTGTAGGCCCCCTTCAGATATTGGAAGGCTGCTCTGAGGTCTGCCCGCAGCTTCTCTTCTCCAGGCTGAACAGCCCCAGTTTTCTCAGCCTGTCTTCATATGGGAGGTGCTCCAGCCCCTGATCATCCTCGTGGCCTCCCCTGGACTTGCTCTAACAGCTCCATGTCCTTATGTTGAGGACACCAGAACTGTACACAGTGCTCCAAGTGGGATCTCACAAGAGCAGAGGGGCAGGATCACCTCTTTCTAGTATATCAGAGAATCATAGAATCACTGGTTTGGGTTGGAAAGAACCTTAAGCTCCTCCAGTTCCAAGCCCTTGCCATGGAGAGGGACACATTTCATTAGACCAGGTCATCTCCCCAGTGGTGCTCCTGGCCCTGTCTTAAGTGCATGTGGTGCCCCAGTCCACTCTGGGAGGGTATAAAAAGAAAAAAAGTGGTTTCATTTACTGTTTATACTTGAGTTCTAAAAATATATTTACAAGTTTTCAATTTCCTTGTAGGTGGTCAGGTAGAAGATGATAACTCCTTTTCTAAGCTGTTAGCCATTATGTAGAATTTGAATGACTCTGGCCTTCTTTGAATTGATACCCTTCAAGAGGATTATTTAAAGCTTCTAACAGCAGCACCCTCCAATGCTGATCCAGCCTAAGATTTTCATGGTGCAGTTAGTAAATCTCCTTAAGTTCCAAAAAGATGCTAGGCTTTAATGTCCACATCTAATATTGCTGTAAAAACATGACTTTTCTTCAACTGACACTTAGCTTGTCTGCATGGTCTGAATGGATAATGTGAAGCCAAACATGAATGCTACGTCTGAAAGATTAGTATTTGTATTGGTGTCACAGTAGATGTGAACACTGGTCTTTGCTTACTTGCAAAGTTGTAAGAATGAACTAGAACAAATCATTCATGTTTCAGAATAAGTGCCCTCAGCAAGTTTTACCTTCAGATAGTACTCATCTTTAATTCGTGACCTATGAACTCTCTCAGCCACACACATTCTACTGGCTTCCAGTCTGACTTTGGCATTTACATGCTTCTGAACACGGCATTTACTCCAGGAAATGTCTGAGGATATTTGGTACCTTTTACCTCGAATCACCATTATTTTTCCTCTTCATTCCCCAATCCAGCTCCTCACTAGGTTGGTTGTTTTTTTTTTTTCCTAAACACATTTCTAAGATGTGTCAGCTCTAATGTTGCTCATTTCAATCCTTCTCATTTTTCATCTAACCACAGCATTACCAAGGGATGTGTAGTTGTTCTTTTGTATGAAACAACTCATCTCACTTTGAAAAGATGTGACTAAAGCTTTCCATACACAAAAATCTTCCAGAATGAGCATGGGGACAACTTGATCTCAAACCTAATTTCTGTAAGAGCACTCCCACAGAAAAGTAGAATCTCAGCAGAGGTGACAGTCAAGCTTGGTCATAACATGCTACACAGTTCCTGCCCAGTAGTGAGTTTAAGGTATATAATGCCTTTCTACCATTGCCATATACTGTTACTCATGTGCCATGATAGGAAAATATTTCTAATAGTTAAGAGATGACGACTAGTCAATAGGGTGTGTCTTTGGAAAAACCCTGAAATGAAAAATTGCTGTCGCACGGAAGTAGAGAGAACTGTATTTTCCATAGTCCAGTGAGCTACTCATAGTAAATACCAGTGAGTTCATCTATGGGGCAAGCGCTTAGATACATGGCAGTTGTGAGGCAAAAGCATCTGCAGGCTATGCTCACCTGTAGCAAAATTCTGTTTGCTGCAGTGGAACCACTTCTAGGTTGAGCTTTGCTGTTTACTATCAGTGCATGTAGGAAGTTTGAGACTATTCTCTGTTGATGTTGGTGTAGCTTTTTACACCTTGTGACTGAGATATGCAATGTGTCAGGTAGGGTGGGACAGAAAGTCACTGGAAAAGCAGACGAATAATTCAGGTCGTGGGGAAAATCCTGTGAGATTTAAGGAATCTGAAATTGCAGGCTTTGCCATAGCACACCCATTGAAGAAGAGCACTAGGGAAGTCTTTCTCCTTAGCACCAGCCACCAGCCTTTAAGTACCCAACTTCCCTTCACAGATTCTGAAAAAAGGCTGATCATGTAGAAAAGGTGGTTCGAACAGCGAAGGCCTGTTGCTATTCTTTTTTAGGGAAAAGAATGCTAAGGTACAGGTCTGGTGCAAAGCAAATAGGGCAAGGCTTTGCTTTAGTGTAACCCAGATGCAATTCTTCTGCGGCAAAAGCTTCTGTGCCAGAGTAAGACTGAAAATGAAAAAGAACAGAAGTTTGGTAGAAATGTACATCTTCTTGTGTGCTTTATTGTATTTCTCAGTAAAAACTGTTCTTACCATTCCTCCCAGCTGGGGAGTATGAAATAATCCAGTGGAAGAGTTTTCTCTTCCATTTAGGCTGAACGAATTGGTAAAGAGCACATGTTCATAGAATCATAGAATCACAGAATGGTTTGGGTTGGAAAGGATCTTAAAGCTCATCCAGTTCCAACCCCCTGCCATCATGTTTACACTGTGTTTAATCTTCTGTGTCAGTGCAATCACAGGCTGTCTGCAGAGACACAAATTTGAACCTGAGGTAGAAATTTGGCGTTTAGTCTTAGAGAGCAAAACCGTGTTTATCAGCCATTTTTCATTGCCAGCTGCTACTGTAATGTGCTCTCAGTACCACCTTGATCTGAGTGTGCTCTTGGCAAAGTAAACTGGCCAAAAAAGCTGACTTATTTCAGTTAAAACTGAAGGAAATAGTATTTTTTTCCAAACACTGATAAAAAGATCCACAGGTTTGTTTCTAATTAATGGACTGGATCAGCATCTGTTTCAATGTATTTGGAAGAATTGAAAAATCTTACTTTTCCAGTTACCTGTAAGCGTAAGGTCTTAATGGCAAATCTGGTTTGGTGTGTTCTTTCATTTATGAAGGAGTCAGATGATAGTCCTTCAATAGCCCCTCATGCTACACAGCTGAGACATCAGCTCTCATATGTGCTTGGAGTCTACAGTGTCACTTTCAGTGATAGAACCCAAAATGTGTTCAGATGGGAACCGGATGCTTCTAATTTTGAAAACAAGATAGTATTCAAATATATTATTTAAAGGGAAAAGGAAGTATGCTTTAGCAACAGTGTCATTACTGAAAAACTATTTAAAATCTAGTTTATTTTCTTGTAAAATCAGGCATAGCAATTCAGAATATTACCTATAGTACTGTTGCACTTACAGTAACTTTTGATTTACTTTTCAGCCCTGGTGCACTGTGAATAAACCCTGACAATGGTTTGCAGGTGACGAAACTCTGAGCATGTTTGCAAACATAGAAGATAGTTTACACACATTTTCTTCACATTTCATTTGTGAACAGCTGAATTGATGGCTTCTAAAAACCGTTTTTGTGGAAGAGTCCTTGTGATATTGATAGCTTGGTGACACCACCAGAATTAGTATGACTGCTGTTTTAAAGTAAGAGGTATATTTAATAGGCATGAGACCAAAAAAACAGTTTTTAAACACTGAAATCTATGGCTTTTGCTTCACTTCATTGACTGTGTTGCCTCTATACGAGGTTTTTACTGATATCAAGAAATTGTTTTTTTCCCTTTCTTTTCCTTTTTAATATTTTTTCTGTCTTTCTGTCAGTAAGAACTTTTGGTTAGTATTTCTTTGCTTAGAAACCAACAGCCCTCTTTAAACTAAACAAAACTGTACTTCACAGCCTTTCAGAAGGAAGCCTGGTGGAAGTGCCAGCTCAGCAAGTCCAGTGTTCGGTGTGCTAACCCTGTGCAGGGGTTTCCAGCTGAGCAGTGCAAGGCAGGGCTTTGGCCAGGGTCCTGGTTTTCATGCCTCTGCAGTTAAGCACCATGTCAAATTTTGCCATAAAATACAAGGTTCTGCTACTGTTGTGTCACCCTCTTGAGCCCAGCAGTTTCCTTTTGCAGAGGAACAGCTGAGGTATGGAGAGCAGTGAGGGTACAGAAAGCTAGAGTGGAATTAGAAGTCACTTAAAGGCCAAAAGCATTTCCATGCAGCTTTCTCTTGCTTGCAGAGATGCTTCTATTTTGCCTACTGACACCACTTCTTGGATGAACTGTAATGCAGATATTGTGATGAATTACAGCAGGCACCAAACAGTGAGATTAAAACACACACATTGAAACCAGACAGAAACAGATCCACCTGTGGTGGAAAAGGAAAGAATTATTTTCTTTTTTGTTTCTTTTTAGTTGAATGTTTACTTTGCACTAAGGTGGAAGTCACTTGAAACTATTCTAGGAGAAGTTTGCCCATGTGTAATTTGTCTCCCAGGAGATGCACCCACCCACAGACACAAGAGGAGCTTGTACTTATGATCCTCATGTCTCTTGGGCAGATCAGCTGGCGCAGGGCAGTGCTGAACAAAGCTTCTCTGTTGCTTCCAAGGTTGTGCCTCTAGAAAGCCCAGTCATTGCCCTGGGCAGCATGGAGCTGAACCAGCCCCAGAGAACCTGGATCTATTGACTTATTTGAACAGTATGACACATAACAGATTGGTTTAGATTGCTGATGGGTGTCAGGTAGGCCTTGTTTCTGCCTTGTCCGACTCTCCACTACATCCAGTCCTTCCCTATTCTTAGCTCTGCACTACTCAAATGGGTCTCAGAGTGTTGAAGATTGCACACACATTGGTGTTTATACTGGAGAAAATATGCGCTTTGGTGGAATAATTCCAGTTCCCAGGTAATCCTGGCAGGTAACTCTGTAGAATCCTGTTAATCATCATCTTCACCCATTTGGCCTGGGGATCTAAACAGATTTGCTTGCTGTTCTTCAGTGTGCCTCTGCAGTGGAATGAACACTGCACTTTGGTTAATACTGACACCTGAGGAGGTCAGAGGACACAGACAAGGCTGAGAATTACAAGCTTAAGGGCTGCCAACCTGTCAGCATTTGTAAGCCGTAACTTCTCTTGACTGCTTGCTTTACTTACATGATTTCCAGTGTTGCAGTGTGGGCCCTTAGGAATGATTTCTACATTGGCCAGGTGCTTCGGCAGTATTAGCCCTGTGACAGTCTGGATGCAGTGACACCACAGCTCTGCTGCCAGCATCATTTCTGTGAAGGAAAGAAAGGGAAGGGAAGCTTATAATGTCTGCAGCTAAACCAAACTAACAGTTAAAACAGTAATTAGAGAAAGCACATTTGTCCATGTTTCCCACTAAGGCAGGCTGCATCTTCAGCTTGAAATTCCTGATGTTTGCACTGTGAAGTAGATTTGAAAGAGGAGATTCAGCACTTTGAGGGCAGTGTCAACAAGAAGCAAAGACAAGCTCTAGATAACTGAATGGGAGCACATGGACACTCTTATTGAGGCATGTAGGGCTGCAGGAGCCGAAATCCCAGTCTGTTCATCAGTCCTCTCTTACTGTAGCCAGTCTTAACATCCCTTAAGACCAACTTTACTTCACCCTGTGCTAGTTCTTGTGCCTTGCTATGACCATCCATCTATTTCCCTTCTTCACTTACCCTCTGCCCATCCTAATCTGTAGTGCTTCTTTTGGCTGACCAACACCTCCCTGCCTACCTGATAGGAAGCAGAAAGTCAAGCACTGGGAAGCACAGAGAATCACAGCAGGGTGGCAACGTCCCATCTACAGGCTCAAGAGAATAAAATGAGATTCCTAAAGGCTATGCCAGGGCTTTACTGCAGGTGTGTACAATGTCCTTTTAGCCACTTTTCCATCCTGGGGTTGCCCACATGAAGCTCTTCTCTGGCTCATCAGAGACTGCAGACGTGTGTCATCCCAAGATGAAGCCAGGATGCAGTAGAAGGAAGCACTCACATGGTGCCGATGCTTGGAAGCATTCCAGAGCCCTAAACTTGGCATACTTTCTGCCCACAAAATACTTTTTGGACTTTCCCAGCAGAGTCTGGGGTTTTTTCACCCTCATACTTCTCAGGAAAGAGCTGTAACAGATGGCTGTTGATTAGAAATAGTCTGATTGAAAGTAGGTTCAATATTCCAAGCTTTCATCTCAGGGTCAGTTGTCATAAAAGCAGCATGAAAAGTGATAGCAATGCAATATGGCACGCATTTAGTGCAGGCTGTCACCTCTGAGGCCCTGGCTGTAATCTCATCTGTCTCAAAATATTTAAGGGACAAGTTCACCTATCAGTGAATCTCCACTAGCAGAAAAAAAACGAGGAGACAAGAAACAGGCCCACACTGAAACAGGCCCGCAGTCCATGTGTATGTTTTCTTGACCTGCTACCTCAAAGACAGTGTGAGGAAGGACTACACAACTGAAAACATTCTTTTTAGCTAAACCATATTGCAGGAGAATTGTAATACAAAGGAAAAGAAATTGAATTTTCTTACCAGGGAAGTTGCCTAGAGAAGAGAGAATCAGGAGGGAGATTACAGTCTTGCTGTCCATGACTGCTCTCTATGCCTTCTTATGGGACTGCTGACACTGTTACATGCCAGGATTTGCTTCTCATGCACATGTACATACAGATGGAATTACTGACACACTCCGGCTTTTTGCAACAACCAGAACAAGTAGTGGGAAAATGTGAAATGGAACAGCTTGTGGTAACACACCTGGAACTGAGCGGTAAGCTGGAGTCACTCTGCTTGCTGAGATTCCCTCTTAATTCCAAGACAACAGTAAAATACTAAGAGAGAGTAACATGCTAGTTAAAGCTGTGAGAGAGGTACTAAGCTGCACCAGTTGTCATCATTTATAGCTCAGGACTTGTTCAATTTTCTCTCAGTGCTGAAATACAAGACAGAATCAAACTAATAATAGAACACTGGCAAAAATAAAGGTAATCGCGTTGTTTGGATTGAATGAGGAAATCAGAGCATTATGACACTAAAAAAATTATGACTTTCTTACACCTACGTATGCACTATCCCATGTAGCATGCAGCAAATTCATGGGCCAGAGCAAGCCAGGGACAATTTCTGTGGCTGAGGACACACTTGTCTGCAGGCAAAGAGACTTTAGTTGTATGGACAAGTCATACCACATGCTCTGATATCAAGAAAAGAGGTCCTGAACTCTTGCATTTATTCATACTATATAATAATTTAAAATAAATTAACAAAATGTTTTAAGAAGGTTTGAGTTTTCAACACCTCTGAATAACAAGTGGTGTTTTAGAAAGCATTTAAAGCTATGCTTTAACTTCGTCATTCCAGCTCCCATTCTTTTAAAAGGGAATAAATAATGTGCGGTTTACGATTTTGCTTAACAAGGATTTGAGTTACTTGCGCAACAGCACACACAAAAAACCAGCTGTGGAAATGCTGGGAACAGCCACATCTCCTCATGCTGCCTTCTGCGCCCTTAGCCCTCTTTGCCTTTATTCTCTTCTCAGTCAAGGACAATTTAATTCCCTCTTGCAAGTCCTTGCAGATTTGCAAGCACTACAAGGCTGTCTCTTACTGCGCTCTTGCCTTTAACCCTATTGAATACATCTCTTTTTTCAGATCTCTTCTTCCAACTTTTTTCTAGGTGTCTCTAGGTGAGAGGAAAATTCAGCTCTATACTAAAATTAAAAGCATGCATCTGCCACACCACTGGTCACTATCTACTGGCCTGTGATCAGACAGTTACAGTGTACTCTGCTTGTGATCCAGTCCAACCCTGCCTTCTCTTGTAAGGAATTGCTGATGGGTTTGACACACCTAAAATACTGTATTCAGAAAGGATCCTTGAAACTGAGGCACTCAGTCAGGCTCTTGTTTTTATCTGTAAAGTACTGCCTAAAATGCCATTTATTAGAGCTATCATTATGTAGAAGAAGATAGTAAAGAGAGCCTTCCATGCCTTCAGATGCTGGTAACCCTAAGCTGTGCAGGATCAAACAGGGCTCCAGTCAGGGCACAGCTCTCTCTGTGTAAATGGTCCCCCACTGAGAGTCATTCAAGCTCTTTTCAGAGTTGTCTAAAAAGGAATTGACTCTATCTGTCATTTCTGATGGCAGAAGAGAAGAACACTCACATGGAATTTGCTGCTGCAGTTTCACATGAGGGCAAGGACATGTAGGTAATGACCAGCAGTGAGAGGGAACTCCCTGCAGTGAGCTGGCAAAATCTCTCCTGCAGCCGAGGATAGGTGCAGTTCAGTGTGGCCTGGCCTGCTCAGTTAGTGGATTTGGGTGGGTCACTGATACCTTGAGGCACAGGCCTCTCTCAGCCAGGATTAGTGCAATGAGGGCTCTGCTTTAGGTGCCAAATGGCACAGGGACCTCGACCCATGTGAAGCAGAATTCCCATGGAGAGGAAAATGAGCAGAGTTTCTCCTTTTCTTGCTAATTGTCCTGGGTTCAGCTGTAGCAGTCATTTTTTCTCCTTCTTAGTAGCTGGTGCAGTGCTGTGGTTTTGACTTTCAGCCTGGGAACAACGCTGATAACACCCATGTTTTTAGTTGTTGCTCAGTGATGTTTACTCTGACCAAGGACTTTCTCAGTCTCATGCTCTGCCAAGAAGGAGGGGAAGCCGGGAGGAAGCAGAGGCAGGACACCTGACCCAAACTGGCCAAAGGGGTATTCCACACCACAGCACGTCATGCCCAGTATAGAAACTGGGGGGAGTTACCCGGAAGGCCCAGATCCCTGCTCGGGTCGGGCTGGGTATCGGTTGGCGGGTGGTGAGCGGTTGTGTCCTCTCCCCTTGTTATTCCTCTTATCATTATTATTGGTAGCAGCAGTGGTTTGTATTATACCTTAGTTACTGGAGAGCTGTTATCTCAACCTGTGGGAGTTACATTCTTTTGATTCTCCTCCCCATCCCTCCAGGAGCAGGGGTGGGGGAGAAGTGGGGGAGTGAGCAAGTGGCTGCGTGGTTCCGAGTTACCGGCTGGGCTTAAACCACGACACTAATAAAAAGGGAAATACAGTCTGAAGAGGACAAAAGGTTGAAAATGCAGTAAGGAAACAGTCTATTAGCATAAATTTTGAGAAGAAAGATGTTCTGGGGGAAGGCAGTAAAGAATCACAGAATGGGTTGGGTTGGAACAGATGTTAAGATCATACAGGTTTGCCCCCCTGCCATGGGCAGGGATGCCTCACACTAGACAGTGTTGCCCAAGGCTCTGTCCAGCCTGTCCTTGAACACTGCTACAGATGGAGCATTCACCACTTCTTAGGACAACTTGTGCCAGTGCCTCACCACCCTCACAGTAAAGAACTTCTTCCTCAGATCTAACCTGAACTTCCCCTGTTTCAGTTTGAACTCATCACCCCTTGTCCTGTTGCTACAGACCCTGATGAAGAACCCCTCACCAGTATCCTTGCAGGCCCCCTTCAGATACTGGAAGGCTGCTCTGAGGTCTCCACACAGCTTTTCTTCTCCAGGTTGAACAGCCCCAACTTTCTCAGCCTGTCTTCATACGGGAGGTGCTCCAGCCCCTGATCATCCTCGTGACCTCCCCTGGACTTGCTCTAACAGCTCCAAGTCCTTCTTACGCTGACTCCAGAACTGTACACAGTGCTCCAAGTGGGGTCTCACAAGAGCAGAGGGGCAGGATCACCTCCTTCGACCTTCTGGTCATGCTAAATCACTCTCCCTCACTTTAGTAATGGGGACAGGGGAGGGAACTCTGAATATTTGTATCTGACGAACAGTATCACAATCATTTGGAAGCTGCTGGTTTTCCTTATGGCCAGATTTCTCCCTATGACTGAACCAGTAACAGCAGTCATTTAAGTATGTCCACATTATGCCCTGGGGGAGTAGCCAGTTGGGAAAGGAATATCGATTGTTTGAGTAACTCTGTGATTTCATAACATGCCATTGATCTAAGTAGATGTGTGTGGACATACATGCATATTTAGTTGTCATAGTGTTAAGTCCATCTCTTGGTAGACTATTTAATTACATCTCTGTAAGTAACCTTCCCCATTCTCCCTTGGTTTTTAGAATGTACCTTTGTCCAGCTTACACTCACCCCTAATTTCCTCTCTCTTTGATGTCTGCAAAGTTGCATAATTGAATTTTCTCTTTTTCTCAGAGACAGGACATCTTTTTAGCTCTTTACTACTCTAAATTTTTGCATTCATCTGACAGATAAGTCAGACAAAATAGATTATTTTCCCTGGAA